AGACGATATTCTTATTTATTCTAAAACTCGGAAAGAACACCAGGAACATCTAAGGGCAGTGTTGGTTGTGTTAAGAGAGAAATCATTATATGTCAAGCTCTCAAAATGTGAGTTTTGGTTAGATCAGGTGCAATTTTTGGGACATGTAATATCGGCAGAAGGGATATCTGTAGATCCTGCCAAGGTAGATGCAGTGTTAAAATAGGAACCCCCTAAGACAGTGACGGAAGTACGTAGTTTTGTGGGACTTGCCGGATATTACCGAAAATTTATAGAGGGTTTCTCTAAAGTAGTAGCTCCTTTGACTCAGTTGACCCGTAAGGATCAACCTTTTACTTGGACAAATACATGTGAGGAGAGTTTTCACGAGCTGAAAAGAAGGTTGTCTAGTTCCCCAGTATTGGTGATCCCAGATGTGACTAAATCTTTTCAGGTATATTGTGATGCTTCTATTCAAGGGTTAGGTTGTGTCTTGATGCAAGATAAGAGGGCGATGGCATATGCGTCGAGACAACTGAGAATTCATGAAAGGACTTACCCCATTCATGACTTAGAACTAGCAACAGTGGTGTTTGCTCTCAAGATATGGAGGCATTACCTTTATGGAGTCAGATTTGAAGTTTTTAGTGATCACAAGAGCCTGAAGTATTTATTTGATCAGAAGGAGCTAAATATGAGACAGAGAAGATGAATGAAGTTTCTGAAGGATTATGACTTTTAGTTACTTTATCATCCAGGGAAGGCGAATGTGGTGACTGACGCCTTGAGTAGGAAGGTAGTTCAGATGTCAATAATGATGATGGATGAATTGAGATTACTCGAGCAGTTCAAGGATCTGCATCTAGATGTAGAATTTCGTGATACTAGCATTAGTTGTGGTAGCATTACCATTACTAATGATTTGCTCAAGATGATCAGAGATAGACAACAAGGTGATATGACGTTAAAAGGTGTTATGGATTAGTTAGGATCCGAGCAGACATTGACTACAAGATAGGTGATGATAGTATTCTGAGATTCAGAAGAAGGATTTGTATTCCTGTTGACCAAGAATTGAAAAGAGCAATACTAGATGAAGGTCATCGGAGTCGTCCGAGTCTACACCCTGGTATGACTAAGATGTATCAGGATCTGAATAAAGTTTATTGGTGGTCTGGTATGAGGAGAGATATTGCAGAGTATGTAGTTGCTTGTTTGACTTGTCAAAAAGCAAAGGTGGCACACCAGAAGCCGGGAGGAATGCTAAAAAAATGGAGATACCTGAGTGGAAGTGGGATAACATTACCATGGATTTTGTTACCCATTTACCACGGACAGTTCGGGGGCACGATTCGATCTGGGTGATAGTGGATAGATTGACGAAGAGTGCACATTTTCTCCCTGTAAAACTGAGGATATCTATGGCTAAGCTGACATAACTATATATTCGCGAGATTATCCGATTACATGGGGTGCCATCTAGCATTATCTCAGATAGGGATCCCATATTTACTTCACGATTATGGCAGACTTTACAAGAGACATTAGGTACCTGACTTAGGTTAAGTTCAACCTATCATCCCCAGATAGATGGGTAGTTAGAGAGGACTATCCAGTCACTAAAAGACTTGTTGAGGTCTTGTGTGTTGAATAATTTAGGAAGTTAGGATGATATCCTTCCATTAATAGAGTTCACGTATAATAACAACTATCATACTAGTATCGGAATGACACCATATGAGGCTCTTTATGGGAGGAGGTGTCAAACACCTTTATGTTGGTATCAAGATGAGGAGAAAGTGTTAATCGGACCTGAGTTACTCCAACAGACTATAGAGAAGGTTCGGGAGATACAGGAGAAACTAAGAGCTACTATGAGTAAACAAAAATCATATGCGGACCAGAGGAGGAGACCTTTGGAATTTGAGGGGGGAAACCATGTATTTTTGAGAATCAAACCTACTATTGAAGTAGGAAGGACAATTAAGTCTAAGAAGTTGACTCCCAAGTTTATTGGCTCATATCAAATTTTGAAGAAGGTAGGTCCAGTGGCATATCAGTTAGCGTTGCCACCTCATTTGGTAAATTTGCGTAATGTATTTCATGTATCTTAGTTGAGGAAATATGTGCATGACCCCAGTCATGTCCTGGAGTCAGACGATGTGCAGATTAGAGACGATCTCTCTGTTAATGTGAGATCAGTGAAGATAGAGGATTCTCAGCTGAACCAACTTAGAGATAGAACCATCTCAATGGTGAAGGTAGTATGGGATCAGAAATCCGGAGACTTTACTTGGGAGATGGAGGATCATATGTGAGAGTCCTATCCATATCTGTTCCCAAGTAAGTTCATTTTCGAGACGAAAATTTTTGTGGAGGGGAGATTGTGACGTATATTTTTTTTATATTATAATAATAATATTACTGTGCAAGAAAACTTCGTAACGAAGTTTTCCTCATGCACAATAAAATTTTTCTTTTATATATGCGCTTATAGAAAGGGGGGAGGAGGTAGGAAATTTTAGCAAGTAGTTCTCCATCTCATCTTTTTTCTTCTTTTATCTAAATTTCAAGTAATGAGACTCTACTCGTGTAGGATCTGGTGAAACGGGAGAGAACTTGAATTAAGTGGGAAATTTTCGGTAGAAATACCACACCAGGTAAGGGGAAGTTTAATTCATTTAATATATGAGACTGAATTGTTGAGTATTTTGTGAATAAGGAATATGAGTGGAAATTTGAAGATTAGAATGATTGATTTTGAAGATTTCTCATGTTTTGCAAAACTTGAAATTTTGTTGGAATTCTTGAAATTAAGGATGAATTATATGGTAAAATTGTTGTTTTCAACTTAAATTAGATATAAGTCATGTTTAATTTGAATTTGAGACTAGTTTGGTTGTCTAAAACTCGAGTAATTTGAAATATGCTAAAATCACGCAAAATTTGATATCATTATCGACGCGAGGAAGAAGAAAGGGACATGGAAGAAATTTTTGAAAATGTTCAAGGGTAAAATAGTCATTTTCGGGACATGGAAGGAATTTTCGAAAATGTCTAAGGGTAAAATAGTCATTTAGGGATATACATGGAATTTTCGAAAAGATTAAGGGCAAGATAGTAATTTAATAATTTCGAAAAGATTTTGGAAATGATTTCGGAAAAAGAAGAAGAAGAAGAATATATATATATATATATATATATATATATATATTTAAAATATAGAATGAAGGTAGCAGTTTTAAAGATTCATTAGCATGTTGTGACGTGTGTGGGTGAGACTGAGTCTAAGGGTTGATGCTCATAATCAGTCATGAGATGTTATGTATTGGTTAGACTGAGCCGGATGGTTGGTGCCCAGAATAAGCCAAGTACTATTATTTATTGACTTGAATGAGCCGTAAGGACAGGTGGTCCAGAATCCGACAAATGTGAATGATTTTTGTTGTGTTTGAATGGTACCCGGGGTGGTACAGAGTACATTAGTATAATAACTATGTTGGATCAGGTGGTGAGAAGTCGATGGGTGGATGACTAATGGCGCGCTCGGAGGGGTACTCCAGTATGAGTGATGAAGGGCATCAGTAATCCTACTCTGTGTGAAGGGTGGTCAGAATGGTACTACGGGTGCCGATCACAATGTGCTCACAGATGATAGCCTCTGAGTTCGGGCATAGTTAGGATAGACTTCCGGAAGGTGTCTTAGTGTATTGATGATTTGTAATTGATGATAATATGTAATTATTACTTCTATACCTATTTTATTATATTGAATGATTTAATATTTATTCCTATTTTTCCATGTGGATAGGACTGCGATGATCACTTTTATGTGGGAGTAGATCAGGAGTTGAGAGGTGGAGATGCGACTACTGGACAACAAGAATAATTCGATGGAATAGCTTTGTGGGAGCTACTTTTGCATGTATTTGTATAAATAAATTATGTTATTATGTTTTGAAATTTTTTCAATGAATCAGAATTTCGATCTATATTATAATTATAATAATATAATATAATATAGATGTTGTTATTTACTTATTTTACGAATATATTATTATAGTAACGGCTTCTAATTTCGTTACAACATCCTCCATCGTCGCTCCCACCGCGGCCTCATACCTTTTGTCTTGTCCCTGTGGCCCTGTCGTGTTATTCATTATATCCTCTTTTCGTGTCCTCACAACCTTCATCACGTCCTCTACAATATTTTGTCTTTCGTACATCTTCCATCACGTCCACATGTCATTGCTCTTCGCCACATTTTACTTTCCATCATTCTCTCATTGTAATGTCATTGTCCATTGTTTCATACTTTGTTCTGCTATAATCTCATCCTCTAAGGTCTCACCCTCTTATATGTTGTCAAATTATTATAATTGTTATTTTAATTTTTTTTAATTATTAAAAATTTTAAATTATATATATATATATATATATATATATATATATATTCAAGATTATTTTATAATTATTTGAAATTATTTTATATTTGTTTGACAATTTTATGTTTACTTTAAGACTGAACCAATATTTAACAAAAAAATAAAAATCAATTTTTTACATCAGTTATAAAAGTATGGATGTTGAAAATACAAACATTCAATATCGATTTTCTCTATAATTGAAATTGAATAACGGTACTTTTAACATTGATTCTTTGTTGATTTTTCCAATTTTCAGAGACATTTTTTTAACGACGATTAATAATCGATGTTATATATACTCTAAAACTAGTAATATTTTTTGTTTTTAAACGAAACATTATAAATTCAATGCTAAACTAAATTTAATAATATTTAAAAGAAATAATTAATATATCTCTAATATAAAATAAGGAAAAAAAATTAAGATAATTACAATGCTCTCCTTTATTCTTCATCTTCAAATTTGTTTAGTATATTAGTGAATACTAGTTTTGAAGCAGTACTACCACAACCATTCCTCAATAAATAAATAAATATAAATATATATATATATATATATATATATATTTATTTATTTATGTAACCACTGAAGAGTTATGGGGCAGAAGCACCACCTCCAAGTTGGTGTCTGGCGGCAAAGATCTCCGCACCATCTTCCATGTTAAGCTGAAGACAAGTTACATTAATTCATATAAAAATTTAAACTATAGTTGGTTGCATGAAAAAAAAACTAATGTAAATTATGAGATTTAAATATATTAAGATACGTATATTTGTTCTGTATTTATTTTTTAATCTTTTTCAAACTTTATACTTTAAAATTGACTAATTTAATCTTTTACTTTTTAAAAATATATCATTTTAATCCTTTTATACTTAAATTTAATATTCAATGGTGTTTTTTTCCTATAATAAATGCTATAAAGTGTCTAATTTTATAAAACGTCATTTTATTTTTTTTATATCTAAAAGTTTTATATTTAGTAATTATTTTTTATCATTCCAAAATTTTTTATTTAATAATTAATTAATAAAATTTTAAAATACAAAAATTAAAATCAAGTTTTACTAAGATAACATATTTTAACCCAATTATTATGTTATACCAACATTAATATATATATATATATATATATATATATATATATATATATATGAGTTATTTATAAATAATTTAATATTTGTGATATACTAAAAATTACTATGAGATTAATTATTATAATTTTAAAAAAATCATGAGATTATGAACGTTGGTGATGATATATGACCAGATTAAAAAGTATAAGTAAGAAGTAAATTTTACATTAAAAACTAAAATTTTGTAAGATTATAAGAGTCTATCTCAATGATTAAAGTTGAATCTATCTATTATCGTACATTTGTAAATGTGAAGTCCTTGAAATATATAAGCAAAAAATAATTATCTTTCTAAAAATGGGTCTTTGGAAATTAAACTAATGGTAGGATATTAAAATGTTGTGGGAATTGAAACAAACAGAAATGAAAAGTGAGAAAAATCGAAGTGGTTTTTGTGTGTGAAAAGGTAGCATTAAACTAACCAGATTTGGTGTTTGATTTCCCTTAATGTGAGTACCCTCGTGTAGGAACTGCATGGAGCGTAATTCTAAGTTCTTTCGCTCACAGAATTCTTTGAATACCTTCATTAACTCCAAGTCTTTGGTCACCTTGAAGTACATATGATGCCCATCCTATGTTGTTCAAACAAATTAAAACAAAATTATCAGAACTTAAATGCTCTGTTAAATACTAAGAGCATATTCAAAAGAGTTAGTAATAAAAATAAATATTTTATTATGAATCTAATTATTTAAAAATGAAAAAAATGATTTAAAATTTAAAAAATTATCTATATAATCAACTTTAATAATATAATCTATATAATAAAATATTTAATTTTATTCTTAAACAAATCTTATTAAAAATTTCTTTCTTTATGCCTAATAATATGTATTGAATTATTGATATAAAAATTTTGGTATCAACTATTTTATCCTCAGATGACTTGTTGCTTTTGATATTGTTATTCTTACTATTATTAGTTTACATTTAATATTTTCATATTTAATATTTTAGAAAAATATAAAGACATCTTCATGAAACTCTTTACCATTATATATATATATATATATATATATATATATATATATATATATATATATATATATATATATACCATTAGAGTTAGATTTCAATTCATTTATATGGTTATTATAGTATCAATTTTTTTTAACAGTTTAAAAATAAAGAATATATTATTATAGAAATGTAACAAAAATTGTAACTTTTTATGTATAATAAATGTATTTTGTTTTTCGCTTTTTAAAACTCATTCCCTTCCATCACTTATGCAAAGAAACAAAAAAAAAATAAAAAAAATAAATATATATATATATATATATATATATATATATATAAGAGAGAGAGAGAGAGAGAGAGAGAGATTATTTTTATACGTAATATTAAAAAAAAATGTTTTTTTTAGGATATTTTTTTCACTTTTTATTTTTATTTAACTTTTGAAAATTTATTTCTCAATTCAAATAATAACTAAAAATAAAAATAAAAAAATAAAAAAAATCTATTTTGAATTATTTATTGCTTATTTTGATTTTCAAACCATCACATCCTAAAAAATTACGTCAGAATCACTCGCTATTATTGGAACAATTCTCAAAATCTGAGTGAGAGGCTAAATGATCACCTATACACACGTCAGAATAAATTTAGTTTCTCCTATTAACTAAAATTATTAAATTATTTTGTAAATTTTACATTAACTTCCCTATTATCTATTTTTTAGCTATTATAAATTAATTCTGACATGATAAAAAATAATTTTAATTCATCTTTTTTTTTTTTTTTTTTTTTTTTCTATTCCATGCGTATTTTCCTCTTCAAAATTTAGAACATGCCTCAATATTTTTGAGATTATCTATATGATTTGAGAGAGAGGGATTGAAAGTTGAAGTTGATGGTTGATTCTAAAGAAACCAAGGTAATTAAAATTGTTAGCATTTTGAATGTTAAAAGCAAGGGATTTTCCTAAGAAAAAAGAACCTAAAAAGATGATTGTTGTGGAAAGAGTAATGATGCATATAAAAAACACCTGATCTGTGACTAACAAGTTTATCTGGATATCTTCAGAAGCCTCATGAACTGGGGATTTTTTCCTGGGTCGACCTTTGGTAGCCATCTTCTTCTTCTTCTGCATCCACAAACAAAAGAAGAGAAGAAATGTAAATTCCACCAACCAAAACTCAAACAGAATACTCCACCAAACATGACTGTTTTAATTTTCTTATAACTATAAACACTGAAAAATAAGACCTCATCCCCTGGTAGCTTTTCAAAATTGCACAAAACTTTTGAGATGGGTAGCAAATGAACAATTTCTTAGCTGAAAAGGGTACATGCAAGTTCTTTTAAAAGAAAAAAAAAAAAAAACGCACCAGAGATATGAGCTAAAACACTTTCTGATCTTACTGCATCATGCAGTTTTATAATCAGTTTCCTGAACTTGAGTACCGAGGAGAGTAAACCAGACAAAATAGTTGCAAAAAATAATATTTTATTTTATTATAAATAAAAATAAAAATTATAATAATAAAAAATTAAAAATAAAATAATATTCTAATAAATTTAAGTTTTCATTTTTTTTTCTCAATTAATTTATATTTTTATTTATTTTTTATAAATTTTTAATTATATTCTAAAAATCGAATCGGATATAAATTTAAAAGCCTTCCATTTCAGAATTTTTAAACATCTAATTTTAGTTAACATAAATAAAATTGAAACAATTATAAATTAAAAAGAATTTAAAAAATAAGTAATTTAGATTATTTACTCTAAAAATATTTATTTTTCATATTTAATTTATTTTATTGATTGTAGTTAAACTTAAATATGATAAATTATATTTGTTTATAATTATATTTGTTTTAAATGTCATAAATGTGTTACTAAAGACTGAAAACAAAAACTGTTTAGATTAAAAACAAAATAAGTTCTGTTTGTAGGGAGTGAAAACAAAAACTGAAAATAAAATTGTTTAGATTAAAAATAAAGAGAATATAAATAATAAGTTAAAATAAATAAAAATATTATTTATTATTATAATATTTTTTAATTATTTATTATTATTATTTATATAAAATATTTTTTTAATTTACAACGTAATTAAGTATACTTTTGAATTTGTTTTATTTTTCATGTATTTTTTAAAACAATAAGACTAAATGTATTTATTATTTCTTAAAAAACTGATTTTATTTTGTTTACACGAAAATCGGTTCAAGAAACCAAGCGGGGCCATAAAGTCTCTCCTCTGTAAATTTTCTTGAAATTGGAGTCCAACACTTTTCTTGCTGCACGGGGAATTGATTCTCTGTGTGACAGCTCCATAGCTTTTAATATAGTCATTCTTTGTACTATTTCCTATTCTACTATTTCTGATGCAGATGCAGTGATTAAATATAGTTACAATTGACCTGCACTGTTTGTTTTTCATATCAAGGCAGAAAGTGATTAAAAAACAGAAAGAAAAATAAAATATAAGAAGGTAATTATTGAATGATATAAGGATAAAAATATTTATTAAACTCTAGCCATTGGAATAAAATTTCTTTAAAACATTTCTAAACTTGATTCCCTAATACAGTGATATGGTACATCGAAGAAAAGACATATTTGATGATTTTGAAGTCATCTCATCATAAAGTTTTAAATGGTATTAGATAATGGATTTTAAAAAATAGAGTATTTTGCACAATTTTCAGATAACGGTTAAATCATAGAATAACATATAATATTCTTCCACTTTATCCATTATTAATATTAAGAAAAATTAAATATATAAATCATGATAGTTTTTTTAATAATATGTATTATCTGCTATGTATTACAATATATTAACTCTCTCATAATATATTTTAGGTTAAATTAGTGATATTTTTAAAAAATAAACAAATATATGCATAAATAAATGAGAAATTATCAAACTAAATGAGAGTTTTATAAAATTACAAATTGTCATAATATAAAATTAAGTTTCATTTTTGCTACATAATCCTTATAATTTTTTAGTAGCATGCATTTAGCCAAAGTATTAACAATCATTAACTCAATGCTAACATGTTCAATGATAAATTTTTTTTCCTTAACACGTTTTATTATGACTAGATATTTAATGTCGATGTACTTACTTCAATTTCTACTCTTATTATTTTTAATCATAAATACCGCAATAGAGATGCCACACTATAACTTCAATAACTTAGCAATTGAGTCTATAATTCTAAGCCTAGATATAAAACTCTTCAACCATATACCATGTGAAGTAGCCTCAAAATAAGAAACCAATTTAACCTTCATAGTGGTAGTAACATTTGCTACTCTAAGATACAACTTCACAAGCTAACATAAAAATGTAACCAGATGTAGATTTTCTAGTATCAATACAGCCAACAAAGTCTGAATCAGAGTAACCTATCACCTCCAAACTATTTGTTTGTTTGTATATGAGCATGAAATCTTTTGTTCCTTAAGGTATCTCATTATTTTCTTTGTAGCTTTCTAGTGCCCAACACCTAGATTATTATAATATCTTCCCAAAACTCTAATTGCAAATGTAATATTTGGTCTGGGCAGACTTGAGCATACATAAGATTTCTAATACTTGAAGCATATGGGACATTCTTCGTGTGTTCCTGCTCAAAATCATTTTTTAGACACAAATCAAGTTCAAGTTTATCAACCTTGACAATGGGACCACACTCGGTGAACAATCTTTCATGTTAAATATCTCTAGAACCTTATTGATATATATAGGCCTGAATAAACAAAAAACAACTGAAGATCTTTCTTTATGGATTTTAATGCCTATGACATAAAATGCATCTCTCATATCAAAGTTCTTTGAGAGAAATTATTATAACATTCCATTATCATTGTCAGTACCTAATTTCATTCGAGTAAATAAAAATAAAATAATTATAATAAATAATAATTTTTATTTTGAAAATATGAGAAAAAAAGAAAAGAACAAATATTAAAATATGAAAAAAAGAAAAATAATAAAGAAAGAAAAAAGATAAAAAATAAAAAGATGATTTCTTTTAAGCATTTAAAAAAAAAAGAAAAAAAGAAAAAAATATAATAACAATTTTCTTTAGTAACATTCTACATTTTTAAGAAAAGAAAAATGAAAAAAAAAGATTAAGAAGATAAAAAAAAAGTAGTTTCATTTCTTGTCTTAATATTTTACTCTCTAAAACTAAAAATAAAAAAGTGGAAAAATGAAAAAGACTATAAAAAAAAAATTCCTTTTCACTTTTCTAAAAATAATAATTAAAATATAAAAAAAACGTTTTAAGGTTAATTAGCAAATAAATATTTTTACTCATAATTTATTTTGGCCCAGCCCAATATTAAAGTGGTTGCCCTAATTTTAATTACCCTAGGCTTTTTTTACCCTAATATTGAGTTTTAAAAAAGGAAGGGAGGAAATTCACTCGGAGATATCCTATTTTCCCCTTACTCACACCGCACCAGAAAGACTCCCCCGTACACAATCCATCTAGAGCCTCATTTTCTTCACCTCTCCTCACATTCAACCTTGACCATTCCACTCTTTCTCCCTTTTCAGCCACTCACCCACGCGCAAATCCCATCTTCCTCCCTCACCACAAATCAATATCTCCCAAATCATGACATCTGGTCCATCTCCATCTCCACCTTCATTCCTTTCTCCTTTCTCCACCCGTCACGCCTCAACCTTATTCATTTTCTACTTCACTTAGCCTCCACGACCGTCATTGCTTCCCCCACCTTCACTGCAACCCCCACCGTTAAATTCTCCTCTCATCACCTACATCCAAGCACAACACGCATCGCAACCCATTCCTCAACTTTTCTCACCTAATCCTGCGCCTCACTCTCCGAGCACCCTCCCTCGCCTCACCTCTCTTTCGCAACTCTAAGTGTGCCACCCTCGTCCAAGTAGCCAGTTCATATTCACTTCCAAATCGTCACTCTCCCCACCACTTCCGAACGCCTATTTCACCTCCGATCACCACACCACCTCAGTCGCACGAACCAACAACAACTTGCCTCCATCCTTCACCACCATTGCAAACCACCGTTCTAACGTGTCTTAGCCATTGTATCACCTACTTGATTGCTCCTCATCGCACAGTGAATGCCTTAGAAAATTATATAAATGCAGTGGAGAGAAAATTAAATAGAAACCTGAAAATTGTCAACTACTCAAGTAGAGGTGATGCATATTATATATAAGGAAAGTGAATAACACTCTATTTGCTAGCTTCTTTGAGAAGCGTAGTATTTGTGCTTAATACACAATGTCAGGCATACCGCAACAAAATGATGTGTCTAAAAGTCGTAATTGAATCTTTATGGATATAGTTAGGAGTATGTTAAGTAATTTATGTTTACATGTATTGTTATGGATATATGTTTTAAAAACTGTCATGTATTTGTTGAACATGGTTCATAGTAAAGTTGTTCAAAAGACTCCTTTTGAGTTATGACAAGTAGGAAACCTAGTTTGAGACACCTGCATGTTAGTAAAGTTATTCAAAAGACTCTTTTTGAGTTATGGACAAGTAGGAAACCTAGTTTGAAACATCTGGATGTTGGTAAAATTGTTCAAAAGACTCATTTTGACTTATAGACAAGTAGGAAACCTAGTTTGAGACACCTACATGTTAGTAAAGTTGTTCAAAAGACTCCTTTTGACTTATGGATAAGTAGGGAACCTAGTATTGAGACACCTGCATGTTAGTAAAGTTGTTCAAAATACTCATTTTGAGTTATGGACAAGTAGAAAACCTAGTTTGAGACACCTGTGAAAGCAATGAGGGGGAGATTGATAGAAATATCCTTACATTCCCAAGAGATGATTTTGATGATGATTCAAGTCAACTACATTCATTCAAGATGAATTAAGGACAAACTGAATTTATAACGTTGGTGAAAATGTGAAACATTTTCCTACATGCCCAAGATATGTTTTTGATAAAGATGATGATTCAAGCAAGCCCAAGATGATTCCTGAAGACTAGATAGAGTCTTAGAATACTGGATATGGAGGTACAAGTTGATGAAGTAATATTATGCATAAACCTCCAAAGCACAAGTGTAATAAAATTCATAACATGATATTTTTCTCTGTCATAATTAATTATGATG